GTATTGATGAATAAATGTGAAAAAGTGAAAAATGAAAATGAGGAGCATGTAATTATAATGGAAAATGCATCATTTTCTTGGAAAGATACTCCTTCTTTGTTTTCTCTCAATCTCAAAATTAGAAATGGTAACTTGATTGGAGTGAAAGGTAGCATCGGTGCTGGCAAATCAACGCTATTAGCTGCTATCCTCGGTGAGATCAATCTTGTTAGTGGAAAATTACTAGTGCATACTCAGTCAATTTCATATGCTCCACAATCGGCATGGATATTTGCTGATACTCTTCGAGCTAATATTCTACTGGGTAAACCAATCGATGAAGAACGTTACAATAATGTAATAAAAGCATGTTGTCTTGATATCGATCTACAGAATTTTGGTGAAGTTGGTGATTTATTAATGATTGGCGACAAAGGAGTTAATTTAAGTGGAGGACAAAAAGCTCGAATATCGCTTGCTCGTGCACTTTATGCTGATGCTGATCTATATTTACTCGATGATCCACTTGCTGCTGTTGATCCTAAAGTGGCTAAAAGTATTTTTGATCAATGCATCGGCCCATATAGTCTCCTTCGTGGAAAAACTAGGATATTAGTTACACATCAGACACACTTATTAATTGAAACAGATCAAATGTTTTACTTAGACAATGGGCACATAGAAGAATTACATATGGAACAACAAACTACAATAGAACCATCCAACAAAACATCAGGAGCAGATGTATCTGACATCAAGGAAACCGATTGGAAACTTGATCCTTCTGCGGCTGATATGAATTCTATTATAAAGAATGAGACATCGGTTAGTGGTTCCATTAAGTGGAATATTTGGCTAAAACTATTTACTGCACCTCCGTTACGTTGGTTTGGCTTTTTGCTTATGATTATTTTAATGTTTGGTAATGAAGCGTTGTATGATTTTACAAATCGTTGGCTTGCTCTATGGTCGGGTAAAGATGAAAACGAACAACGATCTTCATTTTATGCTTATATCTATCTTGGAGGTGTACTTTGTACATTCATCGTTACTTTAATACATGCCGCCTATATCATTTATATTATGTTGTGTGGTTCGACCTATTTTCATAATCAAATGCTCAAAGGTATCTTATATACATCGTTACGTTTCTTTGAAAAAAATCCAAGTGGACGAATCTTGAATCGAGCAAGTAAAGATCAACAAGTAGTAGATGAATCATTACCTCTGGCTTTAATTGATACTATGCAATATCTACTACAAACTTTAGGTTCTATTATAATCATTGGAATGGCCAACCCATGGGTACTTATAATTCTGATTCCATTAGCTCCCGCAGTTTTGTGGCTTCGTCGATTTTATATGCGTTCGAGTCGTCAACTCAAACGACTAGAAAGTGTAACACGTAGTCCTATTTATACATTGTTCGCAACATCATTAGATGGACTCACTAGTATTCGTGCATTTCAAGTTCAAAATGATTTTTTAGAGAAGTTCATCGAAAGAATCGATGCAAATTCACGAGCTTCCTTCATTCTCTCTGCCACTTCGCATTGGTTTGGTTTACGACTCGATTTTATGGTATCCTTACTCACTTTAGCTACTTGTATTCTTTCCGTAGCATTGCGTCATCAAATCACACCATCGATAGCAGCACTTAGTATAAGCTATTGCATTACTTTAACAGGTCTCTTTCAATGGGCTGTACGACAATCAGCTGAAGCTGAAAATTTCATGACCAGTGCAGAACGTATTTATGAATATGGTCAACTAATATCAGAAAGTCAAGAGAACACTAATGACAATAATGTTCTCATTCAACCTGACAATGATTGGCCTTCTCGTGGTATTATTGAATTTAAAGATTATACTTTTCGCTACCGACCAGAGCTCGATCCTGTACTTAAAAATCTTAATTTACGAATTGAATCCAAGGAAAAAATTGGAATTATTGGTCGAACAGGTATGATTCCTTCATTTTAATAGATATATGAATTATAATAATATCATCCATTGCTGAGATCGTTTTTTTATGAACAGTGTTCTCTCCTTAGAATCTGGAATGCTGGAATATGCATTAATAGTTATCTTTATTAGTATCTGTTTTTATTCGTTTAGGTGCCGGAAAGTCGTCACTTCTTCAAGCTCTCTTTCGACTTGTCAGCCAATCAGCAGTTAATGGAACTATTCTTATCGATGGTATCGATATTGGACGTTTGTCACTTGATTATCTTCGTTCTCATATAAGTGTTATTCCACAAGTACCCATACTTTTTTGTGGTACTCTTCGATACAATATTGATCCATTCAAACAATTCACAGATGAAGAATGTCTTACAGCACTTGAAGCTGTTCAACTCAAATCATTGGTGCGCAACCATCCAGATGGATTCCATATGTTGGTAGCTGAATCTGGTACAAATTTGAGTGCTGGTGAACGGCAATTGATTTGTGTAGCTCGAGCAATTCTGAAGAGGAGTCACATATTATTAATTGATGAAGCTACTGCAAATGTTGACTATGCGACTGATAAGATGATTCAGGAAGTAATTGCTGACAAATTTCGTGATCGTACCATATTAACTATTGCACATCGATTAAACACAATAGTTAATAGTGATCG